TGATTGGTTCAAAATTGGGAAAGGAGTACGACAAGGCTGTATATTGTCCCCCGGCTTATTTAATTTATATGCAGAATACATCATGCGGAAGGCTGGACTGGAGGAATCCCAAGCCGGAATTAAGATTGCCGGAAGAAATATCAACAACCTCCGATATGCAGATGATACCACTCTGATGGCAGAAAGTGAGGAGGAACTAAAGAACCTTGTACAGTGGACCCTTGACTTACAGACGGCTTGACTTACAGACTTTTTGAGTTACAGACTTCTCTGGCCGCAAAATTTAGGTTTGACTTGCAGCTTGAGATTTGACTTACAGACCAGAAAAAAACCAAAATGGAACAAAAACGGCCTGCTACGGGATTAATCGGTTTTCAATGCACTGTAGGTCAATGGAGACTTGACCTACAGACTTTTTGACTTGAGAACCGCCTTCCAATACGGATTAAGTTCTCAAGTCAAGACCCCACCGTAATGAGGGTGAAAGAGGAGAGTGCAAAAAACGGTCTGAAACTCAACATCAAAAAAACTAAGATCATGGCCACTGGCCCCATCACGTCCTGGCTAATAGAAGGGGAAGATATGGAGGCAGTGACAGATTTTACTTTCTTGGGCTCCATAATCACTGCAGATAGAGACAGCAGCCATGAAATTAAAAGATCCCTGCTTCTTGGGAGGAAAGCAATGACAAACCTTGACAGCATCTTAAAAAGTAGAGATATCACCTTGCCAACGAAACTCCAAATAGTCAAAGCTATGGTTTTTCCTGTCATGATGTATGGAAGTGAGAGCTGGACCATAAAGAAAGCAGACCGCCGAAGAATTGATGCCTTTGAATTGTGGTGCTGGAGGAGGCTCTTGAGAGTCCCCTGGACTGCAAGGAGAACAAACCTATCAATTCTAAAGGAAATCAACCCTGAGTGCTCACTGGAAGGACAGATCCTGAAGCTGAGGCTCCAATACTTTGGCCATCTCATGAGAAGAGAGGACTCCCTGGAAAAGACCTTAATGTTGGGAAAGTGTGAAGGCAGGAGGAGAAGGGGACGACAGAGGATGCGATGGTTGGATGGTGTCACCAAGGCAACCAACATGGATCTGACCCAACTCCGGGAGGCAGTGGAAGATAGGAGGGCCTGGCGTGTTCTGGTCCATGGGGTCACGAAGAGTCGGACACGACTAAATGACTAAACGAACGAATGCATTAGCTTGGCAAATGAAACTGATTATGCCATGGAGAACATTTACCAGTAGCAGATCGATGGCACCAGACCTGTGACAATTTACAGTACTACAGAACACTTTGGCAATATGCTGAGGAATATATAAACTCAAAAGCTGTACCAATATCAGTTTTCCACTTAATCAATTATGTTTTTTTTTTAACTTGCAGGGAAACTTCATCATAAAGCTTTACGGGGCAACTGAGGCAAGGTATGCTATGTCTGAAGTAACTCACATTTTGGGTAATTTAATATTATCATATACAATCATAATGAACTTAAAACCAATACCTTTCTGCAAGCAGGACATAGTCCATTCTCATCAGTACGAATACGATGCCAACAGAAACGACAGATCTGGTAACCACAGGTGCAAGGGAAAAAGTTTATGTCATCAATCTCCAGAGGCTCCATACAAAGAGGGCATTCCACAGGATCTTCCTTCGCATCTGGACTGCGAGACATCTCTATTTTCACACAGCAGCAAAAAATTATATAATAACTTAAGGGAGGAGTAAGATCAGAACAGAAAGCTAAAATATAGATACTGGAAGATCTGGAAGAGAACAAAAGAGAGAGATATATATATTAATATTTATTTCCGATGGTTTCTGAATTAAAACAAGCAAGTTATATGATTAAGAATGTCCTGAACCAGAACAGTGTTTGTTCCTGCACTGATTTTGCTCAATTTTACATCTCTTTTCTGTAGAAGCTTATCACTGTCTTTCACATTACCTCTATCCCCCAATTAATCTGCAAGAACCTAAAGCAGATATATTTTATTTTATGTCTTTCACTCTCAATGAACTGTGAGAAGGAATGGTACATAAATCTATACTGTCATTTCATTATCAATTCTAACTATTTCATATTCCTTTATTTTGTATGAGCAATATGACATTTTCAAAGTATATGGGAAACTGTCATAGAGAAAATCTCTCTTCAAACTTTGGTTCCTTTTATCTTATGGTAGCAGTCCTTTTCTGTGAAAAAAAATTCCACATCACTGCACAAAGCCACCAAATGGAACAAATCTGTTCTTACATATAAGAATCAACAGCCAGGATTTTACTGAGAAAAAAAAAAGAATTGTACTGCAGAGATCAGTTACTGAGAAAAACCTCAAGACATCTTCACTCGTTTAATAGTATATAGAAAGCCATCTAAATATATTGTGGATCTTGAGACCACCGTGGGTTGTAGAACTGGAAGCTAAAGTCTTAGTCTCAATCACTATTGAAGGAACTAGTTTTCAGTCTTCCATCAACTAGATCAATGACGGATTAGATAATCATTCCCAAAAGAAAGCTGTGGCAAGTTTGCAACCAATATAATTCATGTGTGTCTAGGCAGACATTCCCATAGGGGTAGTAGTTTGCCATCCTCACATACATGGCAATCAGAATTCTGCAAAGGCTGCAGACTAGAAATAGAGGTGGCATTCCACTGTATACTTCTTTGTCATCATTTACAGGTCAGTGAAAGGAAAAAATCAAGTGAACAATTTGCCTTGTGTTTAGATACACCAACAGGCTAGCCATCACAGAACCTATAAAGTGAGGGCAGTCCCTTGAGAAAAGTGACTTTCCAACTGAATGTTAGATTCCCCCCCCTCCACATACAGTCATGGCACTCTTGCAGTTCTGTCAGAAAATGCCGTTAGATCCCCCCCCCTCCACATACAGTCATGGCCAAAAATATTGGCACTCTTGAAGTTCTGTCAGAAAATGCAACCCTTCTCTCAGAAAATGGTTGCAGTTGCAAATATTTTGGTACTCACATGATCATTTCTTTGGTTTGCATTGGAACAACACAAAAACACAGAGAAGAAAAGTCAAATCTGATGCAATCCCACACAGAAACCCAAAAATGCACTGGCCAAAATTATTGGCATCCTGTTTAAATTGTAAGAAAGAATTGCTTTTCAGGCATGTGATGCTCTTTTAATTTGTATTTAGACACACCTGTCGCAAGTAAGAGGTGTGGGCAATATAGCAATCACACTTGGAACCAGTTAAGATGGAGAAAAGTTGACTCAACCTTTGTGTCAACTGAGCATGGAGAAAAGAATGAAGCATGGAGAAAAGAATGAGCATGGAGCATGGAGAAAAGAATGAAGTGTAAAGAGTTGTCTGTGGATTTGAGAGAAAAAAATTGTGGAAAAACATTGACAATCTCAAGGCTACAAGTCCATCTCCAGAGATCTTAATGTTCCTGTGTCCACTGTGTAAAATATCATCAAGAGGTTTACAGCCCATGGCACTGTAGCTAACCTCCCTAGACGGAAGAGCAAAATTACAGTACTAAAAAAATACAATGAAGGGTTGTTCTAATGGTGGATACAGAACCCACATTAACTTCCAAACAAATTGAAGCTGATCTGCAGACATGGGGTACAACAGTGTCAGCTCACACTATCCGTCGCCATCTGAATGAAAAGGGACACTATGGTAGGAAACCTAGGAAGACATCACTGCCAACACAAAGGCATAAAAAAGCAAGACTGGAGTATGCCAAAACTTATGTGACAAAACCACAATCCTTCTGGGAGAACGTACTGTGGACAGATGAGACAAAAGCAGAGCTTTTTGGTCAAGGACATCATGGCACTGTTTACAGAAAAAGAAATGAGACATTCAAGGAAAATAATACAGTCCCTACAGTCAAACATGGTGGAGGTTCAAAGATGTTTTTGGGTTGCTTTGCTGCTCTTGCCACTGGATGCCTTGACTGTTTGAAACAGTATCATGAAATCTGATGATTACCAAAGAATTTGGGGTGCAACATAGTGGCCAGTGTCAGAAAGTTGGATCTCCACCAGAGGTCATGGGTCCTCCAGCAGGACAATGACCCAAAACACACTTCAAAAAGCACTCAGAAATGGTTATAAACAAAGTGCTGGAGAGTTCTGAAATGGCCAGCAATGAGTCCAGATCTGAATCCCATAGAACAGCTGTGGAGAGATCTCAAAACAGCAGTTGAAAGAAGGCACCCTTCAAATATGAAGACCCTGGCGCAGTTTTCAAAAGAAGACTTGTCCAGAATTCCACTAGAAAGCGGTAAGAAACTCATTCATGGTTACAGGAAGTGACTGATTTCAGTTATTTTTTTCCAACGGGGGTACTACCAAATATTAAGTTAAGGGTGCCAATAATTTTGGCCAGTGTGTTTTTGGGTTTCTGTGTGGGATTGTATCAGATGTGACTTTTCTTCTCTGTTCTTTTTGTGTTCCAGTGCAAACCAAAGAAATGAATATGTGAGTACCAAAACATTTGCAACTGCAACCGTTGTCTGAGAAAAGGGTTGCATTTTCTGACAGAATTGCAATTCTGTCAGAAACTAGAAAGTTCCTGTATGACTAGAAAGCCTGAATACAATATTCATAAGCATACAGTATATATCATATAAAAGGGGAAAAATCATTCTATTTCTGATTGCTAATATGAGACCACATATCCCTCACCCTGTTCTGCACTAGAATCTATAGAAGTTGATAGAATCTATATAGATCTGTCACTCATAACTGAATCACTTAAAAAAATACAAATCTTTTCCAAAATGAACACACATTTTCTACATATTTGCTCCAAAGCTGTCCATGTGCAAACAGAATAGCCCCTTTTACCTGCAAAAAAGATTGAGATCTAGTTCTGAAGGAATGAGACCAATTCTTTCTTGTCCCTGTAATTCTTCCACACTATTACAGGGTTTTCTGACCCTGCAGTACTGCTTTCTAGGGGGCAAAAGGATATCAGCAAGGATAGTCCACTTCTTCTAAGAGGAATGTCTCAACAGGGGTGATTGTTTCAGGAATTTGCTTGTGGAATTAATTTTCCTTGTATCTACCTTGTTCTGGATGGTCAGTAAGATGTCAACACGGTACACTTCACCTCATTTCATGAATGCTGCCACAAACTACAGAACAGTTCTGCATCATTCATATCAAAATTGAGATCACCATGAGCAGCACGAGACTCCTGCTAATTAACTCTTTCTCTTAAGTCCTCTTTCGATTTTAGGCTGTGGGCAACTTTATCTCATTGCAGGAGAGTCACTCACTACCTGAATTAAAGAACAACTCTGTAATTAGTGGCAATCTGCCACTGCATGTGATGTCATTCCTGCTATGCTGATGGAGTTATGCAACAGAAGGCAGTCCAATTTAATTCAAATGAAATCAACACTGTAAGCAAAGAAAACTAAGATACTGAATTAATATCGTATTAAAGTTTGCTTTTCCTATGCACACAAAAGATGGCTCTTTCTTCAGATAAATAATATAAATACCATGACCAGTCGGGTACAAGCCAAGTTAGACAAAATGCAAAAAGTAGACAAAATTGCACTACCTTGGTGCATGCGCTCGTAATCTCAAGATTAGACCACTGTAATGCGCTCTACGTGGGGCTGCCTTTGAGGCTGCTCCGGAAACTACTGGTGGTTCAGAATGCGGCAGCCAGACCACTTAGTGGAGTGAAAAAAGACCAACATATCTCACCCGCTCTGGCTGCATTGCATTGGCTGCCCATCCGGTTCCGCATCAACTTCAAAGTGCTGATGCTTACATACAAAGCCCTAAACGGTTTAGGGCCTCGATACTTGGCGGAACGCCTACTCTCACCAAGATCTACCCGTGTCACTCATGCGAGCCAGGAGGTGAGGCTGAGGAGCCTAACGCCGAGGGAGGCCCGGAAGGTAAAGACAAGAAATCGGGCCTTCTCGGCGGTGGCTCCTCGCCTTTGGAACAACCTACCTCCTGAGATTCGTGTGGCACCCTCGCTGGGTATCTTTAAAAATCAACTAAAAACATGGATGTTTCGGCAGGCCTTCCCTCCAGACAATTCCTGATGCCCTCTCCTCTCCCTCTCCTATTGTTTCCTCCCTCCTAAGGTTTCTTCTATGTAAAATTTTTTATACTATTTTATGCTGTTAGCCGCCTAGAGTGGTCTTAACCGACCAGATAGGCAGGATATAAATAAAATAAATAAATAAAAAAATAAAAATTAATAAATAGTTACCAAAATAATCTGACCGTTCCCTTCAATTTAGTTATACTTCTGGCTCCTCACACCTGTAAAACATCTAAGGTCCTAAGTAAACACATAAGATCAAATTCTACTGCACTGAATGTAAGTGTGGAAACGTATTTTAAAATACTGTTTAATTTTTTTAACTGGCTTGACATCATAAGCATTTAATACAGTGAAATATATCAGACGTATCTGAAGCAACTCAATATTGTTTCAAAAATTAATCAACTAGTTTCTGAGCTTTGAAAAAAAAAGAGCAGTGCCCAACTTCTTCTTTTAATTCTTTCCTTCTGCATCAAGACACCTTAACAGGAGATATCACCTCTTGCAAATCAGAATGGAAAACTGAATCATAGGATCATTCAGTAACCTTCATAAATGAGAGAATGGATACAAGCTCAAATCTTCTTTGTCTTAGGCCAGTATTCTCTCACCAACACCCTAGGTCTTAAGCTAAACTCAGAGAGCAATACGTAAACATAATTGCAACATACATTTTAAGCATAACATATCTAGACACACT